AAGGTAAAATGGACAGCATGGATAAGCAGAATGGAGGGGAGGGGAGGTAAGAGCCAAGGAGGACCCCAATGTTTAAAGGGGAAATGGTTAGGTTAGTGATTAATGGAGTGGATCTCAGGTATTTTTGATATATCCAAAGGGAAATACAAGTCAAAGAAAGTTGGAGATACTTGCCTAGAATTGACAGAAGTGACCAAGCCTGGGGCTATAAACTTATGAGTCCTATAAACAAAGGTAGTAATTAGAGTTATGAGTTGAATGAGATTACCTACAGAAAGAGAATCAGGAGAGGACCTAGGAGAGGGGTTAGGACTGGGCCTTGAGCAATTCGAATTTGAAGGCCAGGAGAGGAGGCTGATCAACAGAAGCAAGTGAGAGTGAGTAAGTGGGGAAGGTTGGGAGGAGGGCAGACCAAGAGGAAGCTATGGCTCTGAAGTCCATGGAAGACAGTGTCAGGAAGAAAGGCTACATGGTAACCATTGGATTAAGCTTTGCAGAAGCCTTGGCTAGAGTTATTTCAGTAGCAATGTGGCCTGAAAACTCTCAGAACTAGAGTGAGGAATGAGTGGGAGGGGAAGTGAAGACAGTAAGTATTGGTGACATGAGTAATTTGATGGTGATGGAGAGAAGAAAGATAAGACCATGTATAGAAGGAGATGAAATGTTAAGCACTTAATTTTTTTTTTTTTGAGACAGAGTCTCACTATGTTGCCCTGGGTAGAGTGCGGTGGCGTCACAGCTCACAGCAACCTCCAACTCTTGGGCTTAAGCAATTCTCTTGCCTCAGCCTCCCAAGTAGCTGAAACTACAGGCACCCACCACAACACCCGGCTATTTTTTGGTTGCAGTTGTCATTGTTGTTTGGCAGGGCCAGGCTGAATTTTAACCTGCCAGCCTGGGTGTGTATGGCCGGCACCCTACCCACTGAGCTATGGGCGCCACTTGTGCTTATAAGGCTAATGGGAGTAATTCAGTTGGGGCAAAAGTTGAGAGTAAAGGGATAATTGTTAGAGACAGGAAGAAGGAGTAGGGCCAAAACAGCCTGGTATTGGTGAAAGGACATCAAGCAGAGCAATAAAATGTAATAGCAATCCCAGAAATAGACCCCGATCTTTGACAATGGAGCAAACCAGTAGAGCAAAGGTAGTCTTTTCAACAAACACGCTGGAACAACTGTACATGCACATGCCAAGAATAAAGAATCTAGAATACACGTCACAAAAATTAACTTTTTTTTTTTTTTTTTGTAGTTTTTGGCCAGGGTTGGGTTTGAACCCACCACCTCTGGCATATGAGACCGGCGCCCTACTCCTTTGAACCACAGGTGCCACCCACAAAAATTAACTTAAAATTGATCCCAGACCTTATTGTAAAATGCAAAGCTATAAAACTATAAGATAACATAGAAGAAAAACTTGGTGACATTGTATATGTCAATGTTTTTTTTAGATACAGCACCAAAAGCATGATTATTGAAAGAAATAATTGATAAGTTGGACTTTGTTAAAATTAAGAACTTTTGGTCTCCAAATGACACTGTCCAGAGAATGAAAATACAAGCCACAGACTGAGAGAAAATATTTGCAAAAGTCATCTGACAAAGAACTGCTATCCAAAATATACAAAGAATTATTAAAACTCAACCAGAAAAAAGTGAATAACTCAATTAAAAAATGGGGAAAAGACCTGAATAGAAACCTCACTAAAGAGGATATACAGGGGGCAAGTAAGCATTTGAAAAAAATATATTCAACATCACAAGACCTTAGGGAATTGCAAATTAAAGAAACATTGGGATAACACTACACACCTATTTGAATAGCCCAAATCCAACACACTGACAACAGCAAACGCAGTGTAGGATATGGAATAGGAATTCTTATTCATTGCTGGTGGGGATGCAAAATGGTACAGCCACTTTGGAAGGCAGTTTGGCAGTTTCATACAATACTAAACATACTTTTACCATGTTGTGCTGGTAAGTTGTGCTTCTTGGTATTTACCCACATGAATTAAAAACTTATGTCCACACAGAAACCTGCACATGAATGTTTATAGCAGCTTTATTCACAATTGCCAAAATTTGGAAATAGCCAAGGTATCCTTAGTAGGTGAGTAGATAAACAAACTGTGGTATATTCAGACAATGGAATGTTATCCAATGTTAAAAAAAAAAAAAAGAGCTGCATGAAAATAGATGGAGGAAATTCAAGTGCATCTTATTAAGTGAAGGAATCCAATCTGCAAAACTGTACACTGTATGATTCCAACTGTACGACATTCTGGAAAAGGCAAAACCACAGAAGCAGTAAAAGATTCATGGTTGCTGGTGGTTGTGAAGAGGGAGGGATGAATAAACAGAGCACAGAGGATTTTTAGGACAGTGAAACTATTCTGTATAATACTGTAGTGGTGGATACATGTCATTATACACTTGTCAGGGCTCGGCTCCTATAGCTCAACCGGCTAAGGCGCCAGCCATGTACACCTAAGGTGGCAGGTTCGAATCCCCAGCCCGGACCCGCCAAACAACAATGACGGCTGCAACCAAAAAACAGCCGGGCGTTGTGGCGGGCGCCTGTGGTCCCAGCTACTTGGGAGGCAGAGGCAGGAGACTCGCTTGAGCCCAGGAGTTGGAGGTTGCTGTGAGCTGTAATGCCACGGCATTCTACCCAGGGGGACAGCTTGAGGCTCTGTCAAAAAAAAAAAATACACTTGTCAGAACCCATAGAATGCTCAACACCAAGATAGCACCCTATGGATGTTGGGTGATGGTGATGAGTCATCATAGGTTCATTGATTGTAATAAATGGACATTCCAATGTGGGATGTTGATAGTGGGGGAGGCTGTGTATGTGTATGGATGGGGGATTTGTGGAATTTCTTTGTACTTGACATTCAGTTTTGCTATGAACCTAAGACTGCTCTAAAAAATGAAATTTACTGGGTGGTGCCTGTGGCTCAAAGGAGTAGGGTGTGGGCCCCATATACTGGAGGTGGTGGAGGCCCCAGCCAAAAACTGCAAACAAATAAATAAAATTTATTAATTTTTGAAAAAGCAGCTCACAATATGAAGAAATGGAGTTGTATCCCTACTCCATCACATTAAAAAAATAAACTCCAAATGGATTGAAGATCTAGATGTGATAGATAAAATTATAAAGCTCTCAGAAGAAAAGGTTGGAAAATACCTGTATGATCTCAGTGTTTTCAGTCAAGATTATAAAAGTAAGCCATATGAGAGAAGTTGATGAATTTGACAAGATGAAAGTTATTCTTGTTAAATCAAAAATTCTGAAGATAAGATTAACCTCTTGGTGACAGAAAGGGAAAGGTATCTGTAAATGATGTGGTATTCACATCTAGAAAATTCTAAAAAATCAGCAAGAAAAAGACATGAAAATTCATTGGAAAGGATTCTGAGTAGGCAATTCACAGAAGGGAAACCTGATAAGTTTATGAAAAGATGCCCAAATTTTCACTATTAAAATAAGAAGATATTACTTTATAACCATCAGACTAGAAACAATTAGAAAGTCCAGTAATAACAAATACTGGTGAGGATATGGGGAAATTGAGAATACTATGCATAGCTGATAGAATAAAAAGTGTAGCCATTCTGCAGAACAATCTGGAAGTGCTTAGTGAAATTAATATTACTATACCCACAACCCCAAAATCAGCAATCCCACTACCTGGTTTATGTTGCTAAGAAACTCTGATCACACGTATAGCGGCATGAGGTTATTCATTGCAGCAATGTTTGTGGAGACAAAGAGGGAGAAGTCAGCTAAGTGCCCCTCCTGGAAGAATGGATACATAGACTACCAGGCAATAGTCAGAAACAACGAATCACATTCACATATAGTAACACTGACATAAAGTTGAATAAAAAAAATTAAAAAGCAAAACACCTATATAATTTCACGGATACACACACTCAAAAAGATATAAACTGAATACTTAGGAGTGAATGCTAAATAGAGGAGGGAGAGAAATGGAAATAGATCAAAACTACAGAGCTAACAGAAAGTAATAGAGTTAGGCTTTGCTTTGTCTAGTGATTAAATTATATGATGAACTAAGACGTTTGAATGACCTAATTCTTTTTGCCTGCTGTCCTAAAAAGAAATTTTTTTATGTAAAATAAATAGAGTATGGTTATAATAATCTCCTAAGATTGTATCTGAAAGTTAAATGAATAATTCAGATAAAGCCCTTAGTGTAGTGCCTGGCACATACTAAATGCTCAGTAAATGTTATCTATTAAGACTGTTAACACTACTCATGACATAGCTACTACCTGCTAATTAGCATTGACACTTAAAACCAATTAGGTTTAGGTGATTTCCCTCAAATGATCCTTTTGGGTCTAATTTATAATACTACAGTTCCACAGCAAACCCAGAAGCCAGCAGACAGAAGAGCTGGAACAGCCTTGGAGAACGGGAAAGGCTGCCATCTTGTTTGTAGTGTTATGAGAAACCATGATGGGTAACTTGGGAGAATACTGGCAAGCGAATATAATGTACAAGTAAAAAGTGCTATCAAGCTGGGAGACTTTGGTGTACTTCCTCCAAAAGGGTGTTTTCTTTTAACATTTTTAATTTTAAGTAGCTGAATCATAAAGTCTAGCTATATTTGCTTTGGATTATCCCTGCCCCATTTTTCTCCCCCTTTCCTAAAGTGGGACACAGGTTGTTCTAGTGAAATGAGCAAGATCGTCACCTAGTGGTTGATTCCTCAAAGTGCTGACACAAGATTTGGTCCCAGAGAGCACAGAAGATGTGCCTAATCCTTGTCCTCATATTATGTTAATTCAACAAATGTTAACTGGGACTCCATGCCAGGCACTATTCTGGTGCCTGGGGATATAGAGCTGCTAACACAAAATGACAGGTTTAAAAATAAAATTGAGGAAGTCTCAACTCAGAAACTTAGGAGCTCTCCCAAAGTGACAATGCATTTTCATGTGTTAATTTTCCACTGGTTTTCCATAGATCATAGATGAAGAAGAAACACAGTTCATGAGCAACTGCCCTGTTGCTGTCACTGAAAGCACACCACGGAGGAGAACGCGGATCCAGGTGTTTTGGATAGCGCCACCTGCAGGAACAGGCTGTGTGATTCTAAAGTAAGTAAAGGCCAAATCCTTACAGCTGGTCATGCTCCTTCCCGGCAGTTCATCAAGGACTTTGCGGTGTGGTTGCCGGAAGAAAAGTGATTTGCTGGGCATCGGATAAGTTGCATCATCTCTCTGCCCTCCCCTATCTCAATTCTAAAATAGCACCATAAGCCTCCAATTGGTAAAGTTCTTTATAAAGAATTTGCCTGAATCTCTATTTTCATTAAATAGAATGATTCTCCTGCCTCTTTCTACCTTACTGGAAGTAATAATACTACAACTGGTTAAGAAAAATTATAAACCAAGTGAAGATAATCTTTAGCTTTTTCCATCTGGAATTTAATACTTTCTCTTTTCTCAGAATGCACAACACCTAGAATCCTTAAAATTGCATTTAGGCTGACCTGAGACCCACATGTAACCCCCATTCGCCCCAAGCTCAGCTTTATGACCCTATCTTCTCCCTTGCCCATCAAAATTGCCCTGTGGCACCACTTCCTAGCTGGCCTTCATATCCTCTTATGATAGATAGGAAGAGGTATTAACTAACTAAAACAATTTTCCTCTGAAAGGTAGCATTGTCTCAAACATGTGTCTCCAAAACTGTGTGCCACAGAATGATGTCCTGGGAAATGTAAGAAGATAGGCAGGAAAACAATTTCTGTGGTCAACTATTTGCATCCTGCATCCTCTCCTTGTAGGTTCACAACACATATTGGCATAACGAAGATTTTGCAAAGTCCTAGTAAAAATGAAATCTGTTTAATTTGGTTTCACTCAGCATTTGCCAAACTTACTCAACTGTAAAGCTCTTTTTTTTTTTTGGCAATGTCTATTAACATTCACCAGTTTGGGATATATAAGCATAATCCACTTTAAATAAATTTTAAGTCCTATTTGGAATGATATCGAGAATTTTAGGATTTCAGACAGGCAGATCATCATGGGTAGAAAGACAAGGCTCCAAAGCCAGCATCTGAGAAGTCATCTCTCCACGGAAATAGGGGCTGGGACCCTACTTCCCATGATTTTCCCCTTCTTTAAAGCCTCTAAGGTAGTGATTTTCAAATGGTGTGCCCTGAGAGGTCTTAGGTGTGCTGCAGACATTTTTAAAGATCATTAATTAAATTGTTTTCTAAAGAAGTGCAAAACAGTAAGTATATTCTTATTTTCACTCTTTCTTTTGATCAGCATAATTTAAGTATGTTATGGATAGGTTCAAGTGTGCTGTGAGATTAAAAGAAAAAAAAAAGGTTGTCAAACACTGCCCTGAGGCCTTATTTATGTTGGTTCATTTGTCAAGTAAGGATATTTCAACACACAGCTGTGGTTAACTTCAGCCCACTTCTGAGAAGATGTTGATAGCAAGCCTCCCACTTAGGCATTTGGGTCCCTGCAGTTCCTAGACTTCCACTATGCCTGGCTTATGGAAAATGTCTCAGAGAAGCTCTGGATGCATCTGTCCATTGTCCAGACACAGCCTTATCTTAGTCTGGCCTCCCTTTGCTGCCATCTGTCTGGACATCATTTGTTTATTCTTAGTTTAACACAAGCATCCTTCTTTTAAATTCCTTGAGAAGTTTGGTTCTTGGCGTTAATCTCCACTGGTCATTTTTTTAAAAAGTTGTAATGAAATCTTATCATTTATACACATTGATATATGACATTTATATGGTATCTGGTCAAAATATGGGAGAAGGACATATGGAAATGAATGAAAACCAAAGAAATGAGAACAGAAATGTGTGTTCAGAGCTTGCTATATAGCAAGGGAGTCAGCTGCTGTCACTAGCATTTGGCAGAGTCTCAAAGGCAGGCAGAAGAGTGAGAAAGGCTTATAGTGGAAAAAAAGGGAAGACTTTAGGTCTGCTCTGATCGGAGGCTCTTGGCATGAGGAAGCTGGCGGTGGGCTAACTACAAGTAAAGCATTTTATGTGATTGGTTTGGGGAGCATATTTGGCTTTCTCTGGTTGTTTCTGAGATGAAGTGGGGGAGGGAGTGGGGCCAAAAAGAGAAGTTGAGAGTCATTGACTAAATCCTAGGTTCTGGGCCATTTGCTAGGGCCCAGAGGCTGAGGGTCAGGGTTCCAGTGTCATTGCTGTATGTGGGTCTAGCTATTGTCTGTTAAGATATTTAGTTTCTCATCCTGGAGACTCAGTTCCTAGCTTGGCTTGTGGTACCCACACCCACTCGATGGAAGCCCAATTAAAGGCTGGGGCTCCAAAGAAGGTGGTAGATCCAAAGAAATGTCAGATCTACATGATGAGTCTTCCTGCCCTAAAAGCCTTTATCCCTCTGGCCCAGATCTCTGGTTTTCTTTGGTTTATTATTCTCACAACCCAGAAGTATTTGATCTTCCTGGTGGGAGCCAGAAAGGCATCTCTTGTTTACCCATTAACAATCAACATATGTGAGCATATGTCTGTTCATTAACAATTAACATGTGTGGCTTGTTCATTCACTCATTCTTTCAACAAATGTAACTGAGCCTCCCAGTGACCAGGAATCCAAGGCATACATACAAACAACCAAGGGTCCTATAGGTCAGGTGGGGAAGAGAATAAAGGTCAGCCAACACTTTCTCTATAGTAGGAACTCAGCACACATCTAGCAGGCTTTGCTGTATGAGTGGAGGTCAACCTCAATGTGGGGTTCTTGCCACATAAACATAAAGAAGGATATCTATGGTCTGTTCCATCCCTGTGGAGCGACTTATGATAAAGGCTCAGTTCCAGGGAGAATACTTGAGGATGTGCCATGCCCCTTCAGACCAGGTGCTTCCCTTAGATTTCCAGGGTCATAGTCCCAACTGGAAGCAGCAGTGCCTCTGTAGGAGGGGTGCTGGGATCTGGCTTTCTCATGAAGAGAGGTCAGGTGCAGGGTCAGTATCAGGCGCACATATACATCTTCCCAAATTCTCCTTTTACAAACCCTACTAGGACTCTCCTGCCTTATTCTGGTTGGTTCCTGGTACTAATTCTTTTATAAACTACACTTTGTAGAACTGATTAGATTACCTCCTTTATTTAATGTGAGTTTGTGTCTTTTGTCTCAATCTTCCAATATGGGTATATTGTGGGGAAAAGCAGTCTCATAAAATCCTAGACAGATTTCTGGAGTCCAAAACAAAACAAAACAAAAGAGACAGATCCTAGGGGAATTAAGGAAGTTTCTTGAAGTCACACATCCATGTTCAGCTCTAACATCCATGTTCTTCCTTCCTTTTATTTATGTTTTCTGAAAGAATAATATGTAAACTATCTTTAAAGAAATAATTTTATAAGATATAAAACATTTGCATTATAAACTTTCAAATATAGAAAGTAGGGAAATACAGACAACTATATAATACAGAAAAAGTAAAAAAGTCCATGGCATCTCCCCCAATAAATCCCAGAGGTTCCTACACAAAGGCAGAAATAGATCAATTTGCGTGCATAGGTTTTAGACTTTTATCCATACATTTATATTCATAAAGCTATATAGTTTCATTTTTGTGGGAATTTGAGTTTACACAGTGGTATCATATTACATGTAATGTCCTAACTTGAATGCTTTTTCACTAAATAAGATGTATTAGAAATATGTCTAGGGCAATACATACAGATCTAGCTTTTAAAAAAAAAAAACTGTTGCATATAATCTATGCTATGGATGTTAATTATTCCGCAGCTGATAGACATTTAGACTATTCCAGTCTTTTACTATTACAAATAATGTTATGATGGACATCCTGATGCATGCCTCTTTGAGCAAATATATAAGCCTTTATCCATGGTAGATGCCAAGAAATGGGATTGTAAGGTATGCACATTTATAATTTTAATAGCTACTGCCAGATTTTCCTCCAAGAAGCTTGCCGACTTAAACACTCCCCCTGACTGTGAACAAGAGAGCTTAAATCCTTACTTGCTCAATAGTTCTTGATATTATCAATCATTAAGATTCTGCCAATCTTCACTTTAATTTTTCTACACCCAAGGTTATAAATATATTCCTATATTTTATATATTTTTATAGATTTTTAAATCAGTTTAAGTCTTTAATCTTCCTGAAGTGTAATGTTGTGAAGGATATGGTATCAATAAGCCTCAACTTAAAATAGATGGCATGCTCAAAGTGAGATGCCAAAGGAAAACAATGTGGAGGAAGCCTATGTCACCTTTGCCTGAAGAGGCCAGAGGAGGGGACAGAGAAGATGGGGTGGAGAGGACCACTACCTTACAGGAGCTGAGACCTTTGGTCAAAGGAAGCAACTAACCTGGGAGATGCTAGCCTGATTCCTTTTCCATAACCCCCAAGGATTCTCCCCTTTGGTTTGTGTACAACTATGAGGACAAAAGAGACCATTTATATAATTCATATAGATTATTCTCTGAGGTAAAGAGTAGGGAACAAAAGAATCTGGAAAGCAAACCACAGATATACAGCACAGATGGGAAATCGAAATCTACCTATTTTTCCCAAAATAGATAATTATAGTTGTCTCACATCCATCTGTGCGATACAGTAGAACCTCCATAGTTGACCAACTCCTTAAGTTGAGCTAATTTTCATAAACTGGACATACACTACAGGTACTCAATAGAAAGTCCTATGTCGACCAGTTTGTTACAGTCCTTTGGGTGGTCAAATTACAGAAGTTCTGGAGTTGAGGCAAGATGGCAGACCAGAAGGACTGTCTAGCTAAGCTCTCCTAGAATGACTGGGGAAAAAGAGAGAACCCAGCCATACCTGGCACAGGGACCTTACCCAGAGTCATAGCTCAGAAAGCACAGCCAGGAGATGGTGAGCTGGATACAGAGTATGATCTGGAAGAGTGGAAATCTGATGAATTAAGCAAGTGATTGTAACCAGCTAGGATTAGCTGTCCTCCCCACAGAGGAAGGGAGGAAGCCTTTCTGGAGTTTTCAGTTGTTGCAGGAAGCTATGCATTAAATGGAAAGCTTGGAAGAGTGGGTAGACTCAAACAGTATACAGCAACCAGATTTGAATGCTGGTTGGAGTGG